CACAGCTAAAATTATTCAGTAATATATAATCCCTCAAAAATCATGCTTTGAAGTATCTTTAATGACATGGGAAAATGATCACGATAGAATGTTCAGTTTAAAAAAGCAGGCTATGACTCAGCCGTAAAAATGAACATGGGGGAAGGGTATAGCTCGGTGGTAGAGCGCATGTCTAGGATGCACAAGGTCCTGGGTTCAATCTCTGGTACCTTCATCAAAAAAAATAAATAAGTAAACTTAATTACCTCTACCCCTCCCCCCGCAAAAACAAACAAACAAAACCAAAAAGAGTGCAATTTTGCCATTTGCAACAGCATGGATGGACTCGGAGGGTATTATGCTAAGTGAAATGAATCAGACAGAGAAAGACAAATATGGTATATTATCATGTGTGTGTGGAATCTAAAAAATAAAACAAATAGTGAATATAACAAAAAGAAACAGACTCACAGATGTAGAGAAGGAACTAGTGGTCACCAGGAGGGAGAGAGAAGGGTGAGGGGCAAGACGGAGGTGGAGGATCAAGAGGTACAAACTATCAGGTGTAAAATAAGATACAAGGATCTATTATTGTACAACACGGGGAATACAGCCAATACTTTATAATAACTATAAATGAAGTGTAACCTTTAAAGATTGTGAATCACTATGTTGTATAATATTATGTCACAGATTATTTTATCAACTATACTTCAATTTTTAAAAACTAAAAAAAGAAAGCAGACTAAGATATCCTTCCATAGGTGCATGGATAAATAAACCATGGTGCATCTAGATAATGGAATATTATTCAGGGCTAAAAAGCAATGAGCTATCAAGCCATGAAAAGACATGGAGGAATCTTAAATGCATATGATTAAGAAGCCAGTCTGAAAAAGCTACGAAGTGTTTGACTGCAACTGTATGACATTCTAGAAAAGGCAAAATTAAGGAGACAGTAAAAAGATCTGTGGTTGCTAGGGGTTGGGGTTGCGGGGGAAGGATGAATAGGTGGAACACAGAGGATTTTTAGGGCAGTGAAAACACTCTGTATGACACTATAATGGTGGATATGTGTTATCATACAAGTTGTCCAAATCCACAGACTGTACAACACCAAGAGTAAACCCTAAGGTAAACCATGGACTTTGGGTGATTATGATGCCGTGATGTAGGTTCATCAGTTGTAGCAAATATACCACTCTGTTATATTGGGGGAGAATCAAGCCCATTGAGCAAGGAATCTAGCTTCCTCGCACAGAGACTCGCAGAAGCCCTCACCCCGAAATCATAAGCCCATTGTGTAGGTGTGGCGATATGGGAAATCTCTGTGGTACCTTTCTCTCAATTTTGTGGTGAACCTAAAACTGCTCTAAAAGAATAAAATCTAAAAAAAAATTTTTAAAGCAGACTATAAAACCACATATGGTAAGACTTTAGTTTTATAAAATATAAAGAAATATAGAGAAAGAAACACACCATAATATTAACAATATTTAGGGTGGAGGGTGGGAAGGGATAGACTGGGATTTTAAAATTGTAGAATAGATAAACAAGATTACACTGTATAGCACAGGGAAATATACACAAAATGTTATGATCACTCACA